GAGTTCGGAAGGAATATTATTAAAGAATTATGAAATGATATTCTCTCGGGTGTCGAGAACATGGCACGGAGGAGGTGTCTGTTTTATTAGGAAGAATCAGAAGGGAAATTCTTTTGAAATTTATAATCACAAAGAACATTCAAGCCTTTTCGATGGTGCTAATAATACTCATCAAGAATTTAACAATCTAGTACTCGGAAGGATACACAAAATATTATATTCACAATTTGTGGATGTTGTTTCACAGGAGAATGGACATGTGGAGTGTCATAGTAAGGGAGGAAATGCTGTTCAACAAAAATTGGATAATCAATTCAATGAAATTGTAGGAAAATGTTTGGAGCAGGAAGAGAAAACAGGAGTTGCAGAATACAAACTATTTAATACTTGGTATGGGAATATAGTACTTGTAGGTATCCATCCAGTGGATGGATGTCCAATTATTTCATTCACAACAAGTTGCTTTTCAGATGAGATTGTAAATAAGGCGCACGTATCCTATCTGAAAACTGTTGGCTCAGGTATTATGGAATGTTTCAATTTGAATATAGCCCAATGTGCAAACTATTTCCTTTCCAAGGAAGGTGTTAAGGGGTTTTACACACAAGAAGAGTTGGCCAATAGTTTGAATAAATAAGAGAGGGTGAACGGTTTATTACAGAATTCAGTGATGATCATTTAGTATACAAGCAGTTAGGATGGGGATGGAATCTATTATTTACATTGGATGAATTATTATGGTACATTTGTGTGACTATTTTACATACGTCACTATTTTACAAAGGCTGATTCTCTAGAAATCTTTTTCAAAGCCTTATCTTTGGATGTTTTATCGAGTTTGGAGAGTAGAACTTCTTGGATTGTTGGCGATAAGTGCTCATAAGCATGAGGTTCTTCAGGTGTTGAGACATGTATTAATGGAACAGTATTTCTGTTAATTCCAATACACAAAGGAGGCAAATTGCTGCTAGCCATCATATTAGAAGATGAGGATGAGAAGAGAGAGAGAAGCAGCGGAGAGCTAGGTGAGCTAGGACTACTTGGACCAACAATAGAATAAGGATTGGCCACCACAGCAGAACTACCACCATTATTACTGAATGATGAGCTTCTGGAAATGCTACTTTTTGGAACAGAGCCTAATGTTGATGATCTACCTCTGCTGATTCCATCATTTTTATCTGTACGAAGGGCATGCATACTACTTGACTTTGGTAAGGCAACTTCAGCATTGACAGGAATAATTCTATTCTTCTTCAATTCCTTGCACGAGTTTACCATTCGTTGCTCCTTGTACAATGATTGGCTTCTCTTTTTGGATGGACTAAAGACTGGAGGTGCTGATTGAGGGCTCCCGAAACTCATAACACTAGTCGTGTCACTATTGTTTGAGAGAGAATCAGAGCGTTTTGGAGGTGTTCCCACAACAAAACCAAAGACCAAACTTGATAGCTCTGGACTTTCATAGTCAATCACCAGAGAGGACCTTCTACTGCTATTGGTCTTCTTTGGAGAGGATGATATTGTTTCATTAATGATTGTTGCTGGCAGAATTTTAGTTGGAGAGGATGGTTGCACTCTGTATTGTTGTTGTTTTGGCTGTGGTTGAGGAGAGCACAAGGATGGTGGTACCTTCTTTGATAGAGTTATGTTGGTTGGTTGTGAGTTCCCCATCCCAAGGTCCTTAGTGGAATATTAAGGATTTTTTTATTGTTGGAAAAATTTCTACAGATTCATTCTATATCACTGGAGCTTTTTGGTCGTGTTTTTACACCTATTTACCACTTTCCTTAATTGTGCTCCCTCTGGAATTGTTCTTCAATTCCTAAAAATTACACTACATACCCGTAGATGGTATAGTACCATCCATTGAAGTCACGTGGACACGCACCTTTTCAAAAAACCAACATTATTAATAATGTATCTCCCTTATCATAATACCTAACTCTTGGAGAGATAGATCAAGAAAATTTGGAGAATATAATGTGATCAAATCTCATTTTAGTGAGTCAACCAAATACCAAACATTTAAGGGAAAAGAGAGAGATGAATAATTTTTCCTTTTCAACTTTAATTCATATTGTTTCCATCCTCTTCTTGACTTTTAACAAATCAATTCAAACAATTTTCAAGGCACTAGGAATTAGATTATCAAGTTTTTCAAATACTTCGCAAAGTCTTTAGAGATTTGATTGGGAAAAAGATATTTGAATTTATTTGAATTTTTAAAGTCAGGTATGAGATTTAAAACATACGCAGGAAATTGTATGGCCAATGAAACAACCAATTTAACGAATATCAATTAAGGAAAGTGTTATTCAAAACAAATATTGCGCGAAATGAACCTCTCAGAAAATCAGCCAAAAAAACTTGCAGATTCTCTTCTATACCAACGTGTCAAATACCTTAATTGGACCCATATGCAAAAAAGAGCAATTATATCGAAATAATTTATTGTTGCTTGGATTCTTCCAAGTGATGCTAATGGTTTAATCACCACAAATTTGCCATCCACGAGGATCTCACTGGAAAACATTTATTGCTATTCTAACAATATTAAAGTTGTGGTAATGCTGCATGAGTTTGACCACCAATGGCGACTTCACCCATTCTAATTCTGTGAAATGTTAAACATTCAAATCGTTCAAAAAACAAACTTACTTGAAATATCCCTACATTATTGAAATTGATAAGGCTAAAAGTTAATAATGCATTACTTACATTTAATCCCCAAGTTTCTCCCCAACCTATCAAGCAAATTGTAAAATCATTTAGGATGCAAAAAACTAGTTAATTAACTTACTGTTAACTCCAATCCAATAAGATTCTCCCTTCTCTTTTCCCCAACCAATTAATTGCACAGCATGAATTCCAACAAGTGTATCCGAATTCCTTGTGTAGATACCACTTTCATAGGTCAAAAAGTCACGAAGGGCAATCATGATGGTGTGGACACTGCCCTCATTCATGATTGATCTCTTGATTTCCATTTCTCCTTGCAATTGCTTGAAACTTCCTGNGTTTAGTTTTG